CCAAAAAAAAAACTAACTGCACCCGGTTCAAACAAAATTCTTGGAAAAGAACCGCGACACAAAGAAAAACCAAAGGGGAATTGCTACACTACCTAACAAAAGAAAATCTTTTTATTTTATTTTTTATTTAGACTTAAATCCCTCAATAAAATTATCTAGTAGATCCATCGTCGGGAAAAGTCCAATCTTTTCTGTTTAAAAAAAATTATTCAATTAAACTAACACAACTAAAATAGCATAGAAAGTCACCCAGACATTCTCCTCATCCCACACACTTAAAATTGTGCATTGTCCCTAATGCACACCTATACATACCAAAGGGTAAAAGAAACTCCCTGGTAAACACTAGCATCTCATGGAGTACTCAGACTTCTCCTAGGCTTGGTCCTTCATGTGTGTACCTCACACTTAGTTCCAACCATTTGGTTTGCTGTTACATCCTTCCAATAGCTTTGCTTTTCATGTTTAGAAGATAAAAAATTGACACTACAAAAATAATACAATTAAAAAAATAAAATAAAAAAGCAGTAAAGTTGGGTTGCCTCCCAACAAGCACTTGATTTAACGTCGCGGCACGACATGAATTACTTTTTGTCTCCACCTCGAGCTTATGAATTGAACCCCAAGTTTTGATTCAAGCTTATGATTATGGTCATGGGGCAGTGGAACGAATCTAACTGGCCCAAGGAAATAATGTAGTATTCTGCACTCCTTGGTCTTTGTATGAGGTATGTAATCCTGACTTTCTGGCAAGAAGAATTCCAGAATATATGCACCTTGTTCCTCATTCCTTGACTTTTCAATTGGTTCGGATGAATCTATTTCCATATCATCATCCAAACATAATGTGGAAAAATACTTAGAGTGTGGACCAATGCACTCAAATATATGAACTTCAAGACTTTCAACATCCTCAACATCAATGATACTTGAGTCAACAAAATTTATATCCTCAAAGTCCTTGGCTGGCTCTACTCTCACTTCTTCAACATTGACATCCTCAAATTGTAGTTGGCTAGGTTGTTGATGTTCTACTCTGAACTCCCCAATTAACACCTCAAATTCATGCTCTTCTTCGCTACTATCCTCAATATTGGCTTGTTGAGCATTAAAAGCTCCAACCACTTTATTTAATTGAGCCTCCAACTTGCGAATAGTTGCCTCTTGCCTTTCTATCTGCAATAATTTTTCATTATTTTGTTTCAGAAGACACTTTAACATATCCTTGATCTCCTTCAGGTCTGCATCCCCAGGTTCTTTGTTCCTGTTAACTTCACAAGAAAAGGTAGAACCATCATAGTAAGGGGTTAGGGGAAGATAAGAAATATAAGCACAACCATAAAAGTGACCATTTTTACCACCACACATATCACACACATTCCACAAATAAGATTGAGTTGGTACACATAACTTGCTCCCGGGAACGTTTTGAAAATTTTGCCACGGGTGGTTTCCTTCACAATATGTATGGAGATCAATAGTAGAATTATCTACACCTAAATTTCCATAATTCTAAGATGTCATGTTTCTCAAATCAACAGTTATAAAAAAAATAAAATAAAATAAAAGTTCAAACTTGAACCCTAGCAATATATACAACTACAACTATACCGTTAGTTCCTCGGTAACGGCGCCAAAATTTGATCACGCCCAACTCTAGTCCTAAAAAGGAAAAACGGTCGCTGCAAATATAATCCGGTTTAAAAATCTGAAGTCGAATGCCACAGAGAACTAAGGCTTAGCTATATCTGTTTAATATCACTAAGAAGATAAGTTTGAACAATTTTCTAAATTGTAAAGATTGAGATTTATATTTCTAACTAATTAACTAGCAAATACTACAAAGTGATAAAATTATCAACTAACGAGATAAAGGGTTGGAGACTAAATTAAGAAGGTCTAGAGTTATGATTTCCCCAATTGTCGGAATCCTTCTAGCTATGTTCCCTACAATTTTGCCAATGTATTCTCTACTAATCGTGAGCACTTTAGGTGCCATAATTCTCTCTCGAGAAACTACAATAATTTACTAGACATATTCTCTCGAACTACGCTAGTTGGCTTTATCTAACCGCTCATTATGACCACGTCAAGGCTTTGTTATTTCTAAACCTGCCTTTAAACCCGCTGTATTGATTTCTCACATACGTTAGGAGTGACGTTGTTCAACAATCACCTAAATATGTATCCTTTCTCAAGCAATACATAATAAATAGGCACAGTTAATTAATGGCCATTCAATCAACAACAATAAACACGTAGTTGAACAAGTAGAGAAATCCAACAGCTCAATTATATTAAAACATAATAAGAATTTATCCTACAAAAGGTTCCATCAAAACCCTAGATAACAAATTAGCTATTCATAATAGTATGTAAAACTACAATACTAAAAGTCATAACTAACCATGAAAAAATAGGAAGAGGAAGGAAAAATTCGTAGAAGAATTCCCCGCCTTGCTCCTATTGTGTCTCTGCCTCCTTAGGTCGAATCTGTGTCAAAAGTGTGTCCAACCTCCTCAAAATATCGTTTTTCCATGTATATATACCAAGTAGTGTCGGGCCCAAATAATTATATCTTCTCCTACGCGAAAAAGGACAATTTTCAGGTCTGGACACTCGCGGTCGCGGTCCGGGCGCGGTATTTTCTCAGTGCATTGCCTTAGTCCGCATCCAGGTCCGTTGTCGCTGTTTCTACTGCATTTTTCACCCTGTTCCTTTTAGAATTTGGAAAAACATAAAACATGAAAATTGTAGCTCTTTAAGTTATCTTTCCAACCCATATAGCCCAAATGGAGTTCGGAGAAAATAGTTATGTCTATTGAACTAGATAGTGCGCAATATGCCTACTCGAGTCTTCGTTTGTTCTTAACTATCAAATTTGACCCTTGAACACGATTTCAGCTTAATTTCTTGGGCTTTTACTCAGATTTCAAAACTCCAAGTCACTTGAATTCATTCCATAACATCTATATAGATCGGAATCACTCCTACAAGGCATAAAACACACAATTAGTGCAAAACACTAGCGATTAAAGCTTAAACTCAATTAAAGTGTAGTAAATTAGAGTGTAATAAGCGACTAAAATATGCAATTATAGCCTATCATTAGAGTGCACGAGTTGAGGGTGCTTAGTGGTAACGAGTGGGCTTTTGAGGTAAGGTGGCGACGGATAGGTTGTTTGAATTGATTGAATTGAAATGTTTATACTTGGGCATTCTTAAAATGGGAAGAATGTGAAAGTTGTATGTTCGTGCTTGATTGTCGGTATCAATCATAGTCAAGGGTAGAGTGTATGGTTAAAAGTTGAAGTGCTCCTCTCTAGTTGAGATGTGTACGTTGTTAGGGTGTAGTTGATAGTCCCATTGCTCGAGCACGCGCAAGAATCTAAGTGTCGGAGTGTTGATATTTAGCTTAAAGTATATATATTTATATGTATTTCGCCTCACATTTTACTCGTGTTTCGTAGATTTCGAATGTGAAATGTATTGATTTATGCTAATTTGTGGTGTTTTTATGTGTAGGAATCATCCGGAGGCAATATGGGGCGAAAGATGCGGGATTAAAGCATAAAAGGAGCAAAATTGGAAAATAGCCATTTGTGGCACCACAGGCAACATGGGGCGCTAACTGTGGTACAGAAGTCATAATCTTTATTTCCCAGCGCCAGGAATAACGCCCCACTCTACCCTGGGTGCTGGTGACGGGAGGTCTCTCCTATTGCATCTGAGACAAGGTTATTTCGGTCCACGACCTACGTAACGCATATAAAAGCAAGAGTAAGCCTATTTTGAGAGGGAAGACACTACTTTTAAGAAAAAATATACACTAGGAACATCCGGGAGCAAGGTTATCTCAATTTTCTTCATCTTTTCTTATTATTCTTAATTATTCAATACTTATGAATTTGTTTTGATATTATTAGAGTGGCTAAAACCCATAGCTCTGGGGTTGTGATTTAGCCATAAATATTATTGTTTAAAGTTTGCTTAACCTTGATTATAATTCACTAATATATAGGTGTTTATTCAATTCTGTGATTAATTGCTTAATTGTGTCTGGCTAACAGTTAGGTCCTATTTACTATCTATGCTATGCTTGGGAAAGCTACGTCTAGATTAGAGAAGAATTGAAGAGAGCATGATCTTAACTCCGAGTTGGGGGTGGATTTGTGGTTAGGATAAGAATATACCTAGTTACCGTGCTTAATTAAATATCATAATCTTAATGCGCTCTTAATAGATTGATTCCATAGGAATATATGCATTAATCTATTTTAAATAGGCGAGTAGAAATTCGGGAGAATACTACAAGAGCAATTGTTCAATTAATTAGCAACTATGAGTGAATTGTATGATAGGGAGAGTTAATTAGAACACAATAAGATTGGTGAATCGATCACAACTTTGAAATATTTGTCTCTGCTGAATACACAACAACCATTTTACTACTTAATAAATTAGTTACCTGTTAGAATTATTTTGCTTCATATAATCACATTCTTGTATTCTGATTGACTTGACTGAATAATAATTTTGGTAAAACTAGTGGATAGTTAGCACAAGTTGTTGTGGGTTCAGATTAGTGGTGGCAAACAGGCGGGTCGGATATGAGCGGGTCAAAATGGGTAATTTAATAAAACGGATAAATTATCTGACCCGACCCCTATTTGGGACGGATAAAAACGGATTTATCTGGCGGATAATATGGATATCTATATTATTCATGGCGTCTTAAATATGATCACTTATGAGAGAATTCCTAGTCTTCCACACTTAAGGAACTCCAATTTGAGGCTTTACAAATATAAAAAGTTAAACACATTAGTTATCCATTTGGTTAACCATTTTCTAAGTGGATAATATAGTTCTTTATTCGTATTTCGTCCGTTATTTAAATGGTTTATTATTCAACTGATTTTGTTTTCGAATAATATGATGGATAATTATTTTCTTTTTAACTATTTTGTCGCCCGTAATTCATGTACTAAACTTTATGATTTTATTACTTGTACCGTCAAGTATGCTTGGGCGTGCTTTTGGAGCAACAAGCATCTTCGCCAAAGGCTCCGGTTTTGGATCAAAGAGACGATGAGAATTCTCCAGATCTTAACAAGAAAGCTCTCTTCTTCCCAGATTCGAAGCACAGCGCCTTCGTCAACTTTCTCCTCTCGTCAATTTCACTCTCTCTCCAATCCGTACTTAAATTTCTTCCCCCTATCTCTTACTGTATGTATGTATGACTTTATTGCGATGGTTTATGAGAAATTCATACTCTATTTGATACAGAGCGTCATTCGGCATTGCTTTCGACATTGACGGCGTCCTGCTACGTGGCAACATTCCTATCGGCAGCTCTCCTCAAGCTCTCAAAAGCCTCTATGATGATTCTGGTACGACATCGTTTCGGTTATTACATTTGATTTACCATTTGTTCTTGTTTTATCTCTCTAGTTGAAATTCACTTGATTGGTGATCGTATAAGGTTCGTTACAAGAGGAATGAAAATGATTTTAAACCTGAATAAGAGTTGTAACTTAAGAATCTTAGAAGCTAGAATTCAGGAATTGCAGTGGCATGTTTATTTTGCAATTGCAAAGGCCAAGGTGACATTGTATTTACTTTTGTAATGTACAATATCTACTGCATGTGGTATAACAAGAAGTAAAAAGGATAAATACTTACCTTTTTTGGATTTAGCTGTTTAGAAGAAATCTTATTATCCACTTAAGTCATTTTTCTTTACACAGTTCCAATATCGCTTGCCTTAACAAATATTTGGACAATGTTATCAATCTCTTCTACCCAAATAAATCACACAAAAAAACTCCTTTTTTCTATTTTGGTACTTTCTCTTGGTAACAATGTTCAGGGAGGTTAACTAACTTTTTATTTGTGCAGGTACTCTGAAAGTTCCCTATGTATTCTTGACCAATGGTGAGTGGTTGATGTATCCAACACCCATTTATTTGGTACTGCAGCTGGTTTCTGTTTTCGTTCTTTTGCTATTTAAAGTAACAGCTCCTTAAGTGTAATTATGTAAGTTATACAGAGCAACTTCTTGAATAGGCTCGGTCATGGCATAGCAGCTATCTATCTTAATAGAATAACCGACTAAGTTTACAGCTTATACTATCTCTTTCATGCAAGGTGATTTGCTCTGAGTACATGCTGCGATATCTTATATGTGATTTCTAAGTGTTGCCTCAAGTTGAATATTTAGTAACAGGAAAGCCGACGAGAACGTCTCAGTTGTTAGTTGTCAGTGTCATCAGTTAGTATTTTCGTTCCTAATTTCCTTGGGAGATGGGTGCTACATTTGCTTCAGAAAAATCTCTTGTATCAGGATATTCCGAATTTGTCTTAAGTTCCACTGTTGATACAAAACAAAATTGAGTGAAATAAAAATAATGCACTTTTTATGTGTTTTATGCATCACGTGGATAGACACTAGGTTTATTCACAGAGCTTTGTTATTGGATCTAGTGATACAAACTGAGTAGTGGCTTCATTCACTTACTAGAATCACAGTAAATATTAATTCATCCTAGAAGAGTTTTCTTGTGAAAGTAATTTTGTTTGCCACTGTGACTCATTGCTGCAACCTTGTTGCAACCTACTTTTCTGAACTTACATGCATTTTAAGAGCTTATTGCTTATCAGAACGAAGGGGCTTAATGTGGTCTCTTATGTTCAATAGGGGGTGGTGTTCCTGAATCTAAAAGAGCAAAGGAGTTGGCCAGATTATTGGATGTCAATATCCTACCTTTACAGGTATGCAACTTCTGAGAGACGATAGCAGTGGTCCTAGTGGATATTTTCACGATTAAAAAGTAGTGTTTTTCTTGATCATAATCTGCTCTTTTTCTTCAATAATTTCCGTGTCTTGGTAGTCCTAGGATGTGCTGCTCGCTCCTTGTCTAAAGCCTCTCATTCATTTGTTTTACTTGAATGAATCTGCAGGTTATACAGGGGCATACACCATTCAAACAATTGATGAAAAGGTAATGTTTTGTTTGTTATATCTCCTACCCTACTCTCTCCTTTTAGATATAAGTGTTGCCTCAAGTTGAATATTTAATATAAGAAAACAGAAATCTCTATTTCTTTTTGTGTAGGTGTACTTTCTAAAAATGTAATGCAAAGGATGTCCCTTCTTCTGAATTGGAACTAATAGCAAGATCTGTGGAAGCACCTAAAAAACATGTGGCCTTATTACCAGTATCCCGACACCTGTAAAATAAACAAGAGGGACATAGTTTAATTTATAGAAGTACAAGCATGTCTTTAGTTAATTGATCACACATAAATAATTAATATCACTGTAGTTTAAAAAGTGATTACTTGTTTTTCTAAAAGAAAGAAAGAAGAAAAAGCTTAGCAAATGGTTATCCTATGTAATTAGTCTTCTAAAGCTGACTCTGAAAGCGCATGGAAGACGTTCAGTCCCAAATTGGATGTCCAAAAACGTTTGAGTGGCAGTCAATTTGAGAAGAAGAGAGTAAATGCCTTAGCCAGAAAATGTTTATTTCATTAATTATGATTTTATGTATTACATTAATAACTTGCTAAACCTTGAAAGTGCTGACATTCCTATTGTGTGTCTACTGAGTGTGGGGCAGTGTGACGGGTAAGAGAAGTGTTTGACTTAGACACAGACACAACAACCAAACTTAAGAGCTCATAGTCATGGGGTTCAATCTATGTACTAGCGATTTGTAGGATAGCAGAACAGGGTTACAAGGGAAAAGATCTGCTGGAGCTGAAGAAGTTTATATTATGAGAAATCAAGTTACTAGATTGAAAGATCAAAAGTTGCTTTGATTGGCTTTAACAAGTTGGATCTGTGTTGCAGATTTGAGGATGAGCTTGTTGTTGCTGTTGGAAAAGGAGAACCCGCTGAAGTGATGTCTGAATATGGTTTTAAGTAAGGTTCTTGGTTTTGCAGTTTATGATTGCAGGTTGAGAGGGCATGCTTTGATATACTTTAACAATTTCAACAGCGATATACTACTGTGCTTTAAATTTCAGAAATGTTCTCTCCATAGACGAGTATGCATCTTATTTTGACAACATTGACCCGTTGGCCCAATACAAAAAATGGACAGACAAGCAGGATGTTAATCAGAATAGCAAGTCTAAGCATGTAGCTTTCAGCAATGATCCATGCTCACAGAGAGCGCAAGCAGTCTTTGTTGTTAGTGATTCTGTTGATTGGAGCAGGGACATCCAGGTATTCTTCTTTCTAATATAAGTTTAAACTTACAGGTATCTGGTAGATTAGCGCTAAAATCATGTGGAGTACAGAAACAAAGATTGAAACACACTTTTATGCTATATTTTGGTGTGCATCTACATGCATCTCATCTTACTACATGCAGTGTGTTCAAATTTGCTTTCAGTCGAAGCTTTGAAATTCTAACTAGACAAGTCAGTTTAGGTTCTCTGTGACATTCTAAGGACTGGAGGGCTACCAGGAAAAGAGATTGCACACCAGCCACCACTCTTTTTTGCAAACGATGATCTTGCCTATCAGGTTTTTTAATGTTAAATTGATCAGATTGCCCTTGGCTTTCTTCAACCTATTCATAGAGAAGGTAACCTTTCTATTTTATTTTTGACTCTAGGCCCTGTTTCCATCTGAACGACTTGGCATGGGTGCTTTCAGAATTGCATTAGAATCCGTCTTCAATGCGTGAGGCTCATTGCCAAATATCTTGAGACTTGATATGATATCTGACAATATAGAATGCAGCTTGCATATAGTATAATTATCGCTCTGATTATAGAGTTGGCGCCATTGCTTTGAATATGTAGCTCTGGTTTAGTTTAAATCTTAAATTACATGAAACATACATAAGATGGATTTAAAGATGATGTGAAGGAAACTGCAGCTTCCTGTGATGCACTTCTGAGGCTAGTTTTTGTTTACAGTATCCACCCTGCTGCGCTGAAGTATACGTCATATGGGAAACCAAATCCTTTTGTATTTAAAAATGCGGAGACAGTATTGATGCAAGTTTTACAATCATCTCACTATAACAATCAGGTAGATGGTAGAGAGCAGTTTTTCAAAACCTTATATATGATTGGCGATAATCCCGCCGTTGATATCAAAGGAGCTCGACAGGTTTGTTCTTAGACTTATTATGCTATTACTGTCAGCTATTTCATTCTATGTTTAACTCTGAATCTTACATTTTAAGGCTGGAAATCCTTGGTTCTCTATTTTGACAAGGACTGGAGTCTTCAAGGGGAAAGAAAATTATGACGAATGCCCAGCAGATCTGGTGGGTAAATGATATTTTTGAACTATGATTGCATCTACTTTTTTTGTTTTGTTTTTTATATTGTGAAGCATATTTGTTTTCTCTTTAATTCCGTATGCACTTTCTCAGTCTACCTGGAAAGTTAGCCTGTGAAGCAAAAAGGTGGATAGATGGTATCCTCTCACATATGTACATGAGGGTCCATTTCTAGACTACCATCAAGCAAATATAATGATCTTTACTAAGAACAAATTGCCCAAGCATGATCTTCATTTAATGCAGGTTGTGGACACTGTGGAAGAAGCAGTAGACTACATTTTGAGCAAGGAGTGTATCTCATGATGCACATCTGGTAAAAGTCTCACCATGATTTTACCTTATATATGTTAATTGGGGGCAATGAGGAAGTTGGTGGATCTCACAGCTTAGCAAATCACTATTTATTAGCAATTTTTTTTCCTTCCTTTTTTTGGTACAAGGAAAAATTCAAATTTGTTCTTACTGCAATAAAGCATTGGTTAGAGCTCGTCCCCTGTTGAAGAAACAAGTACTGCAAACCTGATTCTTAATCTTAGAGAAAAGTACGTGAAGATATTTAGCACATCAAGCCGAGTTGATTCTTTGTCCATATCATTTCTTGATGTAAACGATCTTGATAGCTGAGTGTCCTAATGTGTCATTCTTAAACTTTAAATGACTTTGTTATGGAGTAGGCTCCGGCTTCTTCTAGGATTTTATTTCACAGGTTACTTGATAGATCAAGTTTTGCAAAATAGAAGCTCTCTGCTATTTGTTTAACCGTTCAGTGGCTATTGTCATCACATACCCCTTTAGGACTTGAGTTTGGAAGAGATTAAAGCATCTGATCTGAAACATTTCATGGGAATAATAGACCTTGTAACGTCTAATCAGCCTTCAAAAGTAAAGATAACTTGGTGTCAGATTGGAATGCTTGTGCAGTGTGCATGCCTCTCCATCTTGAAAGGTTTGTCAAAACATACAATTGTATGAAAAACTTCGCTAACAGAAGTAGTCTGTAAAAGTGCATGCCAATTGGACTTATTTGGTTTCGTGTTATAAAACAATGTCTGCGGCAAAGCTGAAGGAATTCAAAGCCTTACATCTTCTGGGATCTGTAAAACAATTAGTGGTCGTTTGGTATGAAGTATTAGGTGGGATAAGAGTTGAGATTAAATTTGTACCTTGTTTGGTTGGAGGTATATTTATACCTCCAACCAAACAAGGTACAAACATATATACCTCCAACCAATTTATACCTCCAACCAAACAAGGTATAAACATAATCCCAAATCTTATCGCACTTATCTCATCTTATCCCACTTTATACCATCAATTGTGGGATTATATTATTCCATCTTTTATGTGGTATAAATTAGTACCGGGATTATATTTTGCCCACATACCAAACAACGCCTTAGGGATGGTAAGCAGGGCGGTGAGGGTTTTCGCTTAACCCGCAAAATTTCAACCCGCATCCACCTGCCCTGCATAACTTAACTTTTTTTTCCCTTCATTTTGTTAGTTTATTTATTTTTAATCTTTTGGCTGGATTTTTTTATACATTTATGATATCTACTCATATTTTTTTTAATTAATTTTAAAGATTACGGGAGGCTTCGGCTAAGGAAAGAAGATAAGATACTTGCGAGAATTACTCTTTGCTTTTTAAATTTTATATATATATATATATATATGTTGTTTTTAACTTAACTTATATGTTGTTTTTATCATATGCAAGCTAACATTGAAAATATAAAAAACTTCTGTCAAGATCAATTAGTAGATATATTTCTGTTTGTTAATCAGTAGTTACGACTCACATGTATTTGAGCAAAATAAGGGTTAATACTATGATCAATAAAACAAAAATTTAAGTAATTCAGAATTATGTGTTAGATATTACATTTTTAAAACAATATGACGTGCAAGCATTTGATTCAAATAATGTGTAACTTTATTTTGCTTAGAATCAATTTCATCTTCATTAAGGCAGAAAATTGAGTTTCCTCCTTTAATGAAGTTTTTAAACCTGCGCCGCACTTGCACAACTTTTTAATTTTTTTTATTTCGACCCGCCCATCGCCCCACACCCACATATGTTTAAATTTGTACCGTTCCGTACCCGCATTGTCCAATTGACATCCTTAAAAACAATTTCCTTGGTTCCAAATATTAATTGTTTTGACAAACTTAATATGGACCGGAGGAAGTGTTAATGTAATTGATGACTCTAGTGAGAAAAGAACTCATTGATCATGATTATAGAAGGGTGTTCATATGGTTGGTATATAAGGTACGATTCTTTGAATCCTACCAATTGGTGACTCTTTTATTTTTTAAAATTGGATGGAGGTGCCGGTAACGACTTAAACTGGAGGTACCAACTCTTTATGCTTTGTATGTACTCCGTTTACTTACTTGTTCACTATTGACTATAAAAATCCCTTAAAAAATACTTCCTCCGATCTATAATAAGTGATCATTTTATTTTTTTATTTTGGTCCAAAATAAGTGTTCATTTACATAATCAAGAAGGAATTAATTTTATTTTCCTAAAATTTGCCATTATTTACATATTCCTATGTGTCAAGGTAACAATTAATTAATGTTAATTTAGTGAATATTTTTTTTTTTCTCTAGGAGTTCGTATTTCTTTAATGAGTGTACCAAAGGTAAAATGGTCACTTATTGTGGATTGGAGGAAGTAACAAATAAAGTGCATAATTTATCATGATACCCATATTAATTGGTGTATAGTCTTAATGAATTTGGAATTAATACTAAGGACAAAACATGAAAAATATATTATTTTTTCTTAATATGCAAAAGTGAACAAATAAAAGTAAATATCTACTTTTAGAAAAGTGAACAAGTAAAAGTAAGCCAATGACCTATTTTGGTAGGTGTTCTCGATGTGTCTTGGAAAATATTTGTCGGCTGTTGATTCAATTTTCTGATCCAACTTTTGAAGTTTCCCGAATTAATAGTAGGTAATTGAGAAAGATTAAATGGCATCTATACATTTATTTTTTTCAATTTAAAGAACCCATTTAATTTTTTCTAACTTCTTCCCCATATAGGTAGACGGTAGGTTTGACGATCTTTTCGTAAGCTCAGCGTTTTCTACCTTAGTAAAATTGATTGTTGATTCATGTCTAGATTTTTCAGATCTATAGACGTAATTTCGTGATTTTTACATGTGATAAGAGATTCAGCAACGGCCTCTTGGCGTTGTCAGTCACATATAGGGTGACCAAATGGGAGATTAAAATCTTGATCTTAGAGAAGTCGGAAAAAAATTAGAAGGTGTTATGAAATATTATAATTATATTAGTAATAACTCCTAAAAAGTTACTTCCAAAACTTTTTTTCATTATGTAGATAATTCTCGCTACTTTTTACTATTATAGTTGTAACTCTCACACCTCCATAACCTCCTCATGATCTTCCTCCATGATCTCAAATGTTTAATGTCATGTTTATGGCATTCTTTTGTATACCTTTATGTAATCCTATAAATAAAGGGTTTTGGCACCACATTGTACACACTTGGAAAACACTTGAATGCATGGAAGAAATAAGAATCTCTTCTCTATTGCTCCATACATTCTTGTTTTATTACTTTGAGCTAAGTTTCGTACCACGTTATCAGCACGATTATGAAACTGTTAACTATTGAGAAGGTTTCTAATTGATCTTAAAAAATAATTAGAATTTAAATTTTTGTTGTGGTCAAAATAAATTTTGTATAACTAAGACAGTTTTATTCCCTTTATATTTGATCATGTGGTTGTTCGTGAAAAAGATCAATGTGAACTTTAATTAAAGTTCGGGCAAAAATAACTGATTATTATAAAGTAGTATATCATGAAAGGCTCAAAGGTGAGTCTTAGACTTATTATGTCATTGTATAAGGGTAAGACATCGGGTTTGAGTCCTGGTACTCTATGATGATAAAAGTTAGATTTGAGTCCCAACTCATTATAGCTAGCATGCTTTTATATGGGTAAGGTATTTGGTTTGAGTCCCAATGCACCATATTGATGATATAATGATGGCTAAAGAAAAATAATGTATTTTTCATAAAAAAAACATGAAGTTTGTCCTACTTGATTTGCTCCATTCTTGAACTGAATGTGATAACGGTGCATAATAAGTCTAAATAAAGATAAGTGGTTGACCGATGAACGTGGGAGTGCCAAAGATCAAATAATAACAGTCATCACTATGGTAATTGTAAAAAGGAGAACAATAAGGGTTCTCAAAATAATCCTTCAAAAGTGAAGGAATTGTGTATCAATATGGCCTGTAAATATGAGGCACACTTAGATGATTATAGTCCATTTTTTTTGAAAAAATGCGACTTGTGATAAGCATTGTAAATGTAGACTCATTCCTGAAGTGAATGTGAAAATATATATGTGATACAAATTATGCACAAGAATGTATTTATGCATGGTTGAATAAATACTTCAACTCACCTCTACGGGAGGTTTGAGAGAAAGAAAGATCATGAACATTACTATGTGGTTACACTAATATGTCATTGGTCGTGTACATGTGGTACGCCGAAAATATTTTACCATGCCTTATAAAAAAGTTATTAAAGGCAAAATTAAAGCAAGAAAAGATTTTGCTTATGATGGTTTTGACCATGACAATTATTATGATATGATTTTCTTCGTGAATGAGACATTCACCATATTGATGGTGTGACAAAAGATCTTATAGTACAAAATTAATTAAGAGCTCCGGAAGAGCTAATTTGTTACTACCCGGATGAATGAAATTGTTCATGAAATTGATATTGTAGTAAGTCCCAAAAGAAACTTTTGAGTTTCAAACGTATAAGCCCAAGTGATTGACATATTGAGACTATAAATGAAAGGAAGATTGAATATCTTCATATTACTATAATCATACCGGGCAAATATGAAAAGTTACCCGACTTTTCTTTTATTTGTATTACAGATGTATAAGCATGATGATGACATGTTATAGTAAATTAAATGTTTGCTGAAATAAATATTAGTTGGCACGACCGGTTGGCCATCCCGGTTTAATTATGATGCGAAAAATGATTGAGAATTTACACTGGCATATATTGAAGAATTAGGAGATTCTTCGAGAATTCTCATGTACGACTTGTTCTCATGATANATTCTATGGTCACATGTGCGTTTGTTATCAACTTGCAGTTTGGCTTTTGCAAGGTTGATTGCTCAAATTATTAGAGCACAGTTCCAGAATAAAAATTATGATAATTATCTTGATAATGTTGGTTTAAATACAAGTTCGTTTAGCAGAAACTGTATACCTCCAATTAAGCTAAACCATTGGTTATAAGAATAAAACTCCCAAATAAAAATTTGGTATGAGGTGTATTATTTAATATACAACAACACTTGGACACATCTAGCCAACATATTATAATAAATTCTCCCTATCATAATTGGTTCAGGGTCAGGAACCAAATAATTTTCATCTAGAAATATGATTGTGCTATATGATTTAATTATACAACCACAATACACAAAGATGAGTTCCAAAGAAGGTTGAGAAATGTGTTGGTGATCCCAACATTATGGGGAGAAAATGGGCAGCTGAAAAAGTGATACGTTGAGTGAATTATTATGAATACATCTAGAAATATGGATGTGCTACATGATTTAATTGTTCTACCATAATGCATAAAGATGAGTCTCCAAAGAAAGTTGAGGATATGTGCTGATGATCCCAGCATTAGGGGGAGAAAAATGAGCAGCTCAAAAAAATAATACATGG